TACACAGGAAGTACCTTATCTGAAGTTAGCGCATGTCATGTTTATCATTCTTTTTATACAGCAAATACTTTAATCAGTGGTTAGCAGTGATGCAAGAATGTCCTGCACACTCACAGTTTGTATGTTCCCTCATGTCTCTGGCTTTTAACTTACAGACATGCAGGTCAGGTTATTTGGAGACTCTAATTGCACATTAAAGCGACTATTTTTTATGTTAATGCAATTAGCACGTTGTCTTTTTTTAGATAACAAACACAGAAGACAGACGGCATTATTTCCTCCTACCTGGGTGGAAAAGGCATGAAATTCTGTTGAAAGCTGGTTGTCTTTGCATTGTTTTTTCACAGAGAATTTGAGGTGGGAATTGCTGTTTCACACAGTTTCTTTTATAGCTTATCTTGCACATGAACTTAAATAAACCTCTGCAAATGTGTTTGGTATGAATTTCTCCCAGTGGGATTCAAGTCTTTTTCCATTCAGTTACACAGAATTCCTAAACATCTTAATCTTTCACCCTGAATAGGAAGAGAAAACCACTGAATATAGTTTGGATTCCATCTTGTGATAATTAAAGTGTCCATTTATTCCATTCTGGGATGTTTTCTGCACCCTTTTTTTCTGCTATTTTCTTCAGTGGTGTAGACTTTGAGTGAATGGCTATTCATTATAAGCTATCATTGCTTATGTCAGAGCGTTTGAATCGAGGCAGTCTTTTATTTAATCCCCAAACTTTGCTCCATCGATTAAACTTCCTTTTTCTTTCAAATACACACATACTTGCAACAGTATTCTGACATGATGACATGACTTCAAGTCAGACAAGTGTTGTTAATGATGGCATATAAATACGTGTGAAATTAAATTAAACTATTAATTGAAGTAAAGTTAATGTGTATGTATGTACAGTATCGTTACTATCTGTCAGTACCAGGGATTTTTCGATTTTCTCCAGTAACATAGTCATTATAGTCCTTTGAAAGCTTTGCAGCACTCTTTACAGCAGCAGGACTGTTATGCTAATCCCCTCTTCATCAGTGCCTTGACTAAGCTTGATTGTTGGAGAGATTCAGTTAAGCAAAGACCTGGACAGAGTCCTTTATGTACCTTGTACTTCTTTCTGGAGTCTGAAGGTCTACTTGGATTGGTTGTCCTTGGTCCTAGAGTGCGACAGGTCATGGTGCTGTGTACCGTATCAGTGCCACAGATTTAATCTCCACATCTTGCTTTAGTAAAACCTCAAAAGACTTTCAACTTGATGTATCTCTCAACTTGTTTCATTGCAGTTCAACTAATAATAAACAAGTAACATGTTGGTGTTTAGTCAGAGATGCTGTTTCACAGATTTTATGCATTTTGTAAGAACTTTGCAATAGGACATTGTCAAGACATTTTTAAAAGCTCTTATTTTTGCTTGGATGCAACAACTATTTTGAATGCCAAGTTGAATTAAATACTTTTCATCAATCTTCACTAGTTATTCACAACATATTTTATTTTCCTTCCCCCCCAAAAACATTTAAAAAAAAAAACATTTCCTGGTATACAAATATTTGAAAACATACAGTATATTTTTTAACATAAGCTTCCATTATAAGTGAATGTTTCTGACTTCTCCCTCTATATTTTATACATATTTTACCATATATTGCAGCTCCTGCCATTTCAAATATTGCACTAGTCCGTACTGCAATCTGGATTAAAATGTAGATAAATTGTGCAGCCCTTATTAAAACATCTATTTCTTATTGGTCGTGAATTCGAACAATGAAGAGTTATGCAAAGTTTCATGTCAGTCAGAGCCCTGATTTCCATGGGCATGATTTAGATGATCCAAAACACTAACACTCAACACTTCACAGTAGCATGGGTTTCGATCGATAACCACTATTTGATTGATGCTGACATCAGTCATGCCACCTAGAGTAACCCTCTGTAGGATCCAGTATCTACTGTTTAACTACGTAAAGATACCTCAAACTGCAGCCTACTTGGACTTCCTATTCACGTCAAGCTTACTTAGTTCATCGAGCAATGATTCAGGCATAAAGTATCTATCTCTGTGTGTGTTGAAAACTCATGATTAGTGTTCTCAGTGACTGGCTGGCTGATGGGGTTGATTTGTCCGACAGTGCTGTGTGTCAGGCGGTCTCAGCGTCCACACTGGAGAACATGAGTGAAGGAGCGGATAATTGATAGTGACAAGGCGCTCCCAGCCTTAATTGCTGCTGGTGAATTAGATTACCTTTTCAAAGTGCCGTCATTAGCAGAGGGAGAGCCATACCAATGGTCCCCTGATTGGCCTCATATTGTTTTGCTGTGAACCTGCTCTGGCAGGGCGCAAGGATGTGTGTGTACATTTGTGAGGATGTGTGTTTGTTTTGGATTGAAATTACTCTCTAATTTTCATCTGTAGTTTGACTGTGTGTACATGTGTGTGAGTTATTCACATCCAGTGTCAATAATGTCAAGTTGTCAAAGTGACACATTTAGTAGGAAGTGTGTCTCTTGTCTAATTGGCCATTGACTGCTACCACAGATTGAAATGATTGGTTTACACAAAATACAAAAAAACGGATTATTTTAATAGGTTTTATTTGACCACGTTTTGAGATCTCTGCCTCTACATTATACTGTCACCCCAGTACAGTGGGCATCAATGGACAATTGCAATTTGAGGATTTAATAATAATACATTTTATTTAAGGGTGCCTTTCATCCAAGGACATTGTACAATTGAGTAAATACTCAAGAGGTTAAAAGCAACAACATGATACAGCACTAACATGTAATCACAGCCATGTGCCTGTGCAGCACCTCTTTTCACCCTCTGTCTGATAGCAGAGTCCAGTCTGCTCTGATTGGTTAGCTGGCTGGGTCTGTTGTGATTGGTCAGCTGCTTAGAGATGACTTGCCTATTAGTCTATCGTACATTAAAATGTGTTGGAGCGCAAGTGATACATAGTGATGTCGCTATGTCACAGAAGTGTGTGTGTGTGTGTGTGTGTGTGTGTGTGTGTGTGTGTGTGTGTGTGTGTGTGTGTGTGTGTGTGTGTGTGTGTGTGTGTGTGTGTGTGTGTGTCTTAATGGCAGATTGAGACTCTTTAAGGAGTGTTGCTCAAGGTAAGACTCAGGGGATGGGGGCAATTGACCACACTGTCTGTGACACTGACCCCTCTCCTGTCAGCGCATTCATCATCCAGCTGTGACAAATAGGTGTGTGTGTGTCCTGAACTTTGTTGTTAGACTGGCAGACCATTAACATGCACTAAAACGTAAAACACACTACAGGAAAGGGAAAACCCCAACAAGCAAAAGAGTTTCTTTGTTGTTTTCTTTGTCTTTTTGGATAGTAGGAAGATGACTCGACTGCGACACGCTGCGGTAAATACTGACCTTATGTAAAAGGTTCAATGTGTCTTTCACAAAACAGATATATGCACTTGATTGGGTTCATCTTGTCCACATCCTCTGCCTTACATATTTGCCCGCTGCTATAGTGTTTGAGTGTGAATTCGTATTTTTAAGAGCTTTTGATGAAACACTATATAATTGCAGACCATTTACTGTCACTTAAAGAGCCACAGGATCAGAGCCATGGAGAGCGCAGTGCCGATATTCTGTTGGTTACCAAGAGAAACAAAGATACTGTTTCTCAAAAGACATAATGCTGTTGAGTTCAAATGGCTTTTCTCAATGCTTTGGCCTCTGCAATTATATTCTCTTTCCCTCCATTGTGATGATGTGGAGCCAGAAATCTCAGATATAGATATCTCAAAACTTAGAAAAATAGAAGTGAGATGAAGTTCACTGGGAGAAATACCATTCATTGTTTTTTGGAAAAGTACCATTTTAATTTCTAATTTGACTTGTATCTACCTACAGTTTCATTGCAATGTCTTCTTTTGCCTTCAGTAGAGATGTATGTTGATTGGCAGTAATTACAGAGTATTTCTCAATGTTATGACATTAAGTGTGCCTTTTTATAGAAATCATGTCACAGCAGGACTGTGTTTTCTTTATGCCAAAGCAATCCATGGCCTCACATTACCTTCAATAATAATGATTTAATAAATACTCTTCAATACATCCATTTATCAAAAGTGATGATACCGTTACGTTTCAACCAGAATAACTCTGTACTTTGATATTTTTAAAGAAAAGATAAAGATGCATTTGGCTGTTTTTAGCCAGGATGGCATGGTTTAGCTCGCAGCCATTGGCCTCAAGCACTTTTGATTTGATATTACATGTGATTGGCCAATTACTGCAGCAACAGACTTTGGTAAAGTCAACCCCGGTGCATTTAATGGAATCTTTTTCAGGACAACTCAACTCTCCTTTTTACAGTTAAGGCTTTAAGGGGACTTTTCTATTTATGGAAAGACACATTTCAGTGATCTTTTAAAACAATATCCAAATATCAATTTCATTTCCTAGTACTAGAAGAAGAAAAAAGATAGATTTAGTTATTTTTTACTTTCTTCTACCTTCTGAGATCAAAGGTCAAGGTTAGTTACATCACCATATTGGAAAAAAAACGGTCTTCAACAAGGAGGATGTTGCTTTTATAAAATCTTCAAACCTAAGTTTTCCAGTTAAAGAGAAGTTATAATGATATGCTATGGAAAGAGATACAGTGGAAGGTAATTTGCAGAGAGAGGAGTTCCTTCCATGCACAGATGGTGACATGTGCATCTTCTTAAAAAAAACGTCCCAAAACCAGAAGTCCAAACCCCCCTGCAGCACTGGTTTCAGTTCCAGCCATCCTCCCTCATCTTATTTCCATATCTTTCTCCAGTCACTGCTCCGTCACCAGCCCCCAGAACCCTCCCTATCCCCCCAAAAACCCGACGGCTTCCCCATCCCTGTCACAGCCTTCATCCCTTTCCCAGCCAGCGCGCCGCTCCCCTGCTGAGTTAAATGGAGTGTGCCGGTGTCTGGGGAGTCGCGCGTGCTCAGTTGAGCTCGGCTCAGCTGGGCTGCCAGCGTTATAAACTTACTGTGTGATTATTGTCAGAGCGAGACTCCTCCACCCAGGAGGTCTGCGCTGATGGGTACTGTGTCACTGGGTACAGCCAGCCATGGAGGGTGGGATGAGAGAGCAGAAAGGAGGTTATAGAAACCAGGGGTGAGAGAAGGACATGAAGAGAAATACTGTCGGTGGGGGTGATGGAGAACAGAAGTCAAGGGAGGAAAGGATGGAAGAAGAATGGAGGAACAAGCAGGAGGGCAGGGAATCATCAAAAGAAGGAACAAAAACAAGCTGGGCAAGGAAACACTGATGTGTACCTATCTTGGCAGACAAAGACAAGGGAAGACACACAGGGAGGGATATAAAAAGGGAAAAGCAGAAGTATAATGTGCTCGGAGAAGAAAGAGAGGCAGCAGGGAAATCAGCAGAAAGAGGGAGAGACAGGGCCGACGAGAAAGGCAAAGAGAGAAATTAGAGAGAACACTTTCAAGCGAGTGATGTGTGCCGTGATTGTTTTCTCTCCCTCTTTCTCTCTTTCTCTCTGTCTCCCTCTAAACGGTTGGTCGGGATGTGGCCTGTATCTGCCGGCAAGAAGGAACTCAATTTGGGACAATTTACTCTGCAGTCTCAGCCCTGATGCACCTCAGGGACAGAGAATGGAGAGAATGAATGTGAAGGGAGATAGAATCAGCAAGCCACACACACACGCACATGAACACACACACAATTGCCGGCGAGTAGATTTCACTTAGTTAGTTCTAACTCTCCCAGGCGGTCAATACGATTTGAGTTTATAAGGCTTGGAAATGAAAAGCCCAGGATAAGGTTAGATAAACTGTGTGCTATTTGATTTCGGCCCACCTTCTTGCAGAAAAACCCACACAAGACAGATGGCCAGAGGGGATATGCTGATATCAAGTTGTGCAAAGGGTCATGTGGTTGATTAAGGCAGGAGAACGTTATGTGTTTTGACCTTATTGGTCCCTGCAATGATGAAAACTTAGATTTTCCTCACATCTTTTGCCTTCCAAATCAGAGTTCTGGAGGGTGCACAATTTAGACAAATTCTTAATAAAAAAATATCTAACTTCATTTACCTGAAAATACGGTGGCCAACCTGTGCAAAAGCGCTAACAAGGTCCAAAACACTTGAAATGCGCTGCACGTTCAAAAATGATGTACATTTAAAATATGCCAAAACGCATCCAATTTAAGAAACGTCTTCACCAACTTGAAAAAAAAAACCTGACTATCTATATACTTTATATATCCCCAAGTGCCAACAAGCGCTCAGGTCCCAACTCTGTGCATCACTTTTTTTAGTGTGCCTGTTTCCGTTGTGGTTTGAGCTTCTTGCAGCGTTTTGTATTCGCAGTGTTTCATTTATTAAACGATGCGCATGTTTCATCTGGTTGGTGATTGTTTTCTGAAGATTGCACAAAGATTTTTCTTCATTTACAAGGTTTTTGCCACATTTGTTTTATTAACATCGTTTTTGAACATTACTTTACATTACATGTCACTTGTTAGATGCTTTTATCCAGCGTCTTAGCGACTTACATTCAGTACTGTGGGCAATCCCCACAGGAGCAATTTGGGGTGATGTGTCTTGCCTAGGGAGACAACGACATGGTGACTGCAGTGGGACTGGAACTTGCTCTCCCCTGATCCGAAGATCAGGTCGCTATCCCACTGAGCCACAGTCTCCCTAAACCTGCAGCATGTTTCTCCTAATAGAAGTGTTCTAGCCGCGTTTGCACTTGTCGGCCACCGTAGAAAAGTGATGAGTTTTGTATTCTGACCGCACCATTTGTTTCTATACACTAACAGGTGGGCAGCCTGGAGGATGTTTACAGCCTTAAAGACAGCAGGGGGCGCCCTGACAGAGCCGCCTTTGAGAACACACTTTCCACTGCAGTAGGGGTGAGTATTTTATCTATTGTATCAAATAAACTCTGCCCAATGGAATACTCATCACACGATTAATAGAAGGGGATCAAGCCGCAGGTTCCTAAAAGAAGCCGCTCTGAGTTTATTTTTTTTATTTTTTTGGCTTTACTCACACTGTCTCTGTCACACAGCGGGAAATGGATTTGTAACTACATCAAATCAGAGCGTTCAGCTACTTAGACGTGACTGTTTGATACATTCAACACGGCCACGTCAAGGTGAATTCACACTGGCATCGGTTCTGATTTCACACAGCATGTATATGCAAATGGAAGTTCATTTGGCTGCCGTTGCTGTTTTAATCAGGGTCTAGTGTTGATTAGCGACAAGGATGCAACAAAAAAAAAAGACACAGATCCATGTGGTGAGTAATGGCTGAAAGTTGTTTACCTTGCTCGTGTGCCTGTTCCATCCAATATCACTATATGCCTTGCCCCCCAAACCCCCCCTCGCCACCTTCAGCAAGCCGTTCTGCATCACCCTTCGGAGCGCACAATGCAGCCTCCTCAAAGAGCTTTTGTTGCCAGGGAAACCGTCACCCACGGAGACATCCCATGACAGCACGGGGAGAGGGAAGAGTGGGGGGGATGCAGCTTTTGGCCCTGGTCGTTCTCTGGGGTGCACCAGACCTCTGGCCCTTCCGCAACACACTGCCCCTTCAGAGGCACACACACTCTAAAAACACAAGGCCGCAGTATACCAAAGAAAACCACACTCATGCATGAAAACACACAAGCAGAAGAAAGAAATGGAAAGAGAGAGAGAGAAGATTCCCAACTTTCTGATTCAGAGTTATCATCTGAATCAGTGTGCGTGTGATTAATTGAAGTAATTTATTCACAATCTCCAGTGACTCCATGTATGGTTCATGATTTCATTAAACTGTAACTTTAATTACTTTTCTACAATCGTAACTTTAGGTGAAATGAATTTCCCCGCCTTGAATGTCCCACATATCGTAATGAGTCTTACATTTAATAGATTGCACAAATAATGTTTTGGGATAATGAACAAATGCATACTTAGACATTGCATCCTTAGCAGGCGGTTGCATTCTTAAACACCTTGCATCGTTTTTTGACGATATTCCTTTTATGTGGACTAATCAATTTAGCATTGAGGCAAGACAACATCTCTATCAATAACCTTGAAAGGAAACCTTTTTATTTGCTAAAATAATGCTGTAGTCCTTTAAACTACCAGACTATTAGGATCTGCTTTTATAGTATTTTTAGGCTGAAAACAGTCAATATTGTCATATGTGTATGGGAGATGTATTTATGGGGGGTTATGTGTTGCCAAACACAATTACAGTGTGTTGGCTACAGCTGTTGGCCGGCTGCCAAAGCTGGAGCTGTACTCCATCCGCCATCCTCTGACCAGGCTGCTGTCTGCACAGAGCTGCATGCTGCCTTTCACTCCACATCGTGCTGTGCATTGCATGGCAGGTGGGTTAGATTACGGTGCATAATCATTAATGCAGCATGCACGGTTTATTAAGTCATAACCATGAGACATAATTCATGTTTTTAAATATTAGTGTTTAGAGGTGGCTACTAGTTAGCAAACAATGCTTAAATAAGATGTAAAGTGTGCTACTTTTGGAATGAATTTAACTTGTTACCATTAAGGACTTAGTTACCGGTGCATTATTGTGCAGCAAAGGCTACGAAGGCTGTGTTTTCATGCGTTAGTGGAGCTGAATGATTGTGTCAAAGTTCCAAATTCAAAATAAACTTGATTAAAATTCCCAAACTGGCAAAATCCTGTTAGATCTTCAGAAAATGATATAAGATGTCAATATTGCATCCTCTGAGGCCATCATAAAGGTCAGAAACCTACTCCTCTAAACATCACAAAGAAACAACATATTTTATTAATCTGCCGTCACTAGAGGATTGATGTCAAGGTAACATGCTCTAGAGAGCGTCCGATAATATGAATATACCTTTATCTTCTCCTTACCCTAGTCGAAGCCAGCCTCACAGAAGGTTTTTCCGACCACCAGCGTGGCACAAACTTGACATTTTGTTTTAGATTTGAACATGGCCAATGGAACAGAAGTCATGTACTTATACTATCCCATGATACTGTGTATGGCTTTGTTATGACATCTGTTCCTATAGTAAAAGACAAGTGTATCTATTTTATGAAACTTTGTCCCGCAATCAGTCGCTTGTTCTGGAGATTTAAATAATAGTCAGCTGATGATGTTGCTTAGCTGTGAATTCATTTGGTTTCAAGCACACATGAACACTTAGTCTTATAACAAAAACATTGTAGGAACATGTAAAGTTTCAATATATAGTGTTCTATGAAGACTATGTTAGTAACTATGTAACCCTTTCTCTCATGTACTTAAATAAAAACCATATTTATTTAAACAGATTTATTTATTGTGCTTAATATAATGCAACAATATGATCAATACAAAGTGAAACAAAAATTATATTGTCAAACCATTGCCAACAAATGAAGATTCATTGTGAAATATCAAAACATTTCCTGTTACATCTCAGTTGCTGTTCTTTTTCAATTCGTAATGAAAGTGAAATAGTTCAGTTACACTCATGAACATGATTAATGGTGTTCCATAACAAAGGAATAATAAAAAACACTTCATAAATCAGTGCAATCAAAGCAGTCCAGTGGAATGGCTCTCTGAGGCTCTCACATGTGTAGAGCTGTACTATAAACACACACACACACACACACACACACACACACACACACACACACACACACACACACACACACACACACACACACACACACACACACACACACACACACACACACAGAGAGTGTAGGTCCATAGTGGTTTCTCAGAGGAGGGGGAGGTTTTGCCACCATGTAATCCCGGTTGTCAGCATCCCTCTGTCAGCAAAGCAACAATCAGCTGTTGTATTAATCGCCCTGCTAATGACACAATTAGCAAGGCTCTGGGAAATACAGCTCCACGCAAACATGTGAGAGCTCGGAGACAACATGCCACATGCAGCAACAACACATGCATTTTGACTTAAACAAATACGAAGCAAGACCTGCCATTAACATGATAAAAATACATGCATACAGGAATATATACACACAGGGACAACACAGGTATACAAAATATGGCGTCCTTAAGATACGAGATAATAACATCCAATTGTTTCCTTCTTT